ATGCATGTGAATACCGAGCGGTGGCATCATCAGTTCGCTATTAAAATGTAACTATAACGGTTCGTACATGGCGATGACGATGGGATGGGCGCCCGGCCGAGAAGGATGCAGATTGCCAGTGCTCTGCTTTGCTTTTCGCACACATTTTCCTAATCGAGAACCTCTCCTGTCCGCTCTCATTTCACGCTGGTTTACGCCCTAGAGCTAGTACGCAACGGCACCGATCGCTACCACCCCGGTTCAGTGCTCGCCGGGATGATTCGGAATGAAGCGTTAATGATCTCACCCGAATACGACCCGGAGCGATGTGCCGGGACGAGATGGTGATGGTGGGCCTTGTTGCGCGAATTTCGAAAACATTTCTGTAGAACTGCTGTTGTCAATATGTCCTGGAGGTTCTTTCAATTTACCTAACACTCTATCTTACTTAGTGTGTACTGATGGTGACCTAGTTAGCAACAATTAACGCAGCACTTTAGCAGTCAGTTAAGGCATGGTATTCGTTAATCGAAGACGGCGGGTTCGATTACCGGTTCGGGTTCAAAAATCTTTCGGGATGGACATTTTCCCGACCCCTTGAGCATATATTATCATTGTGCTGGCTACATAGAGTACAAATTCATTCATTGGTTGACGTATAAAGATCTCAATTAATAATGGTGGAAGTACTTCACTCTGATGAGAGCATCAGGTTACATGAGGAAGAAGATCTCGATTTATCAATCGAGAATTAATAACATCAATACATAAATAACAAATTGGCAGCACAGCATAAAAATATGCATTTTGGAAAAAACATGCTTGAACGCTGCAATCCATTTCAAGAACTGCCATTACATTTGGTGCATAAAACACATACAGAGAATGTAATAAATCCATCCTTACATTAGATGTAAGAGAAATTTGTTTTGTGTGTAGTTTTGACATAAGTTTGAAACTGGCTGCTTCCCCGGGGGTATCCGGAACATATCCGGATGAGCCCAAATGTAGTCCTGGGCGCTTGAAACATCATTCTGCTTGGTTTTGAATTCTCCTGTGATTGAAGGTGTCGCATGATGGGTTTTGGTTCAAGTCAGAAACTGATAACTTCCAAGGGTTGTCGGAACACGTCCAGATGTCTCCAATCTGGTCCACGTGGCGTCGCATGATGGTTTTAACACGATTCAGGCCAACTCTAAACTCACGACACGTTTTCATCGGAACATGTTCCAGTCATATTTCCGGAACCAGTTGACCAATTCCTTAATTCCATCTTTCTTCTATGGTATCACAATACCTTTCATTTGGCGGTTGTTGCGTCCAATTCGTTCGGTTGCTGAGAAACACGTCGCCCAAAATTATGCAACACATACACATTCCGCATTTTTTTATTTATTTTTTGGTAAAAAAGAAGTTTTATTTGTCAGTTTATTAGACAAAGTTTTTGTTTTGTTTTACCGTCAAGTTGATACATCAAGGTGAAAGTTCAATTCAGCTATATCAATTCTACCGTTACAATCGTTAACGAGGTAGATATATGTAATAAACATATTCAGAATTGCCATTCTCTGCCCTTCGTGTATTCCTAATAGGGCAGGTCTTAGCAAGTTTTCGAACTCGAGTCGCCTCCATCCACCCAAGATGCCTGCTATTCTCTGCTGAAGAACCGTCCAAGCCGGGCCGACGCGAGCACAAGCGCAAAATTTGTGGGAGAGAGTTTCTGCTGTGCGGTTGCCACAATGCGTACAGTTTTCGTCATCTACTCGCCGCATCACGAATAGCAGTTTGCGGTGCTCTATCTTTTCGTTCACCAACAAGTAAAGCATCGTCCTCTGCGCTGAAGTAAGCTTCCTCGATGCAATGTTTCGCCATGTGCGTGACCAGTCACTTGCTGGACTGTTCCACCATTGGCAGCTCGGTTTACTGGACGAAGTGCTGGTGAATTGGTAGTGTTGGTAACCGTAGTGATTGAAACGGTTGGTAACTGGATGCAAGGAGCGAATCAGCAGATAGTCCTCCACAAAACGGAAACGCTGTTGGCCAGTAACTACAAAGCGGGTGCAGTAGGCAGAAATCTCCGTTGGCGAGCATACCATAGTCTCAAAGCGCGTGTTGAAATACCTGGGAGTGATGAGCTATGACTGGTTTAACTTCAACTGCCACGTCGACTATGTCTGCCAGAAGGCGGCGAAGGCCATCACCGCGGTAGCTAGAGTCATGCTGAACAACTCTGGACGAAGAAGTAGCTAGAGGCGACTTCCGGCTAGTGTATCTACGGAGATACGGAGGTCCAGGCTAGGTTGCTGCGCTGGATACCGAGCGGAAGGAAACCAGAGAAATACGAAAATGGTGAGAGTGGAATCGATGGCCCAGTGGCAGCAGGAGAACAGAAAGCATGGACGGGTAAACTTCAACCTAACTAAACTTCAATTCCTATCTAGTCATAGTTGCTTTAGACTGTAACGACATCGGTTCGGACACGCAACGTCATTCCTCTGTATGGGGTGTGGAAATGTGGAGTAACTCAAATACTGTCGGAGCTGCAGCGAAAGTGGAGAGACGATCAATGAAATACACTGAACGAAAACATCCGCAACAATACTTCGAAGGATCATTGCATTGCTTGAGCTCTTTAACAATATGCTTTCGAATTTCGGATGATTGCCTTATGGTTGAATTCGTCATCAGCTGATGAGCATCCATATGAGTATCATCCAAATAAATGATGATATTTATTTGAAAATTGACTGTAAAACATACAGCGCACAGAGGACGACAATTTAATAATAGGACGACTTCTTCTTCTTCTTCTTCTTCGCATTTCAAGCTTATTGCATAACGCATATTAGCTTATTGCGTGCTCTCAACTTAGTGTTCTAGATGCACTTCCACAGTTATTAATTGAGAGCTTTCGATGCCTGTACCATTTTTGCATTGGTATAATTGTGTGGCAAGTCCAATCATACTTCTATGCCCAGGGAAGTCGAGAAATTTTTCAACCCGAAAAATTCCTAGACCAGACCGGGGATTGAACCCAGCCACCTCCAGCATGGTCTTGCTTTGTAGCTGCGCCTTTACCGACTGAGCTAAGGGAGGCCCCTTGCATATGCAGGATGACTTGCATATGCCTTAAATTAGATTTATAAGTCGATTGTTTTCATTCCATATTGCATAGCCATGAACAGTCATTCCAAGACTCGTTTCTCGGTAGAGGAAACATCATCCACCGTGAAATAGACAAGCTTCAGTTTCCACGGTTTACCAATGTTCGTACCACCTCTGATAGCGATGATTATGTTCCCACCTCGTTTGTCAGCTCAGATCAGCAAATGACGTTGGATAGAATTATTTACATCATCGTTTTGGATGATTTTCGTTATGGGGCTGAACCAATACCATATGCATTAGAAATTTGGGATGACAATTATTCTATAGAGAGCATAACGTATTTCAACTGAGGTCCGTTCGCTTCTCGTAACAATGTTCATGTATCGAAAGGAGTATAATCTATTTATAATTGTCTGAGGTTTCATTCGAACAGAGGATGTTGTTTTGGTACAGTGTAGCAATGCCAGCTAGCTGCGATGTGCGGTATAAGAGGTGAGGAGAAAGGAAACTAGTGGACTCTTTCGTTCTCGCGTCTTCTTATGCAGCAACAGACGTGACGTCACGTCTGCTGTTGCATAAGAACACCGTCAGAATGAAAGAGTCCACTAGTTTCCTTTCTCCTCACCTCTTATACCGCACATCGAGCTAGCTGAGCTAAAGAGAGGTACACGGTAAGAAAAAAGTACCCAACCAGTTCACTTTTACCTACTTTTGACTAGTTTGACTCCTTTTCTCCTTCTAATGTTGTCAAAAACAGAGAAGCAAATCCACCCAACAGGGATAGTAAAGGGTGGGAACCCAACGTTGAGTATAATCATATTTACCTACTTTTTGGTAGAAAGCTAGTGGAAAATTCCATACGAATTGCACACAAGTAAATGAAAACTACTTTGACCCGGTTTACCTACTTTTGGGTTCCTGCACTATAGTGCCGAGATGAGTGAAAAGAACTTACTTTTGGGTACTTTTTTCTTACCGTGTACATGAACACATTGACGTCTATGATAAAACAATAAGATTGAAATTTCTGAGCATTTGTTATGGATTTCGTTAATTTAGTTAGCAATCAAGAGATTCAGCATTATATTACGACAAAACTATATTGCAATCATTTTTGGAGAAACCCTTACTGAATTCATCAGTTAAATGAATTGGACCATATTAATTTCCACAATTCCCAATCAAATCCATTACTCCTCTCACGTTCATACAATGTTTTCCGCACATCCAACATGACCCCTTGCAACCTTTCCCGGTTATTCAATCTCACTCCATTTCTCCCCGGACTGCAATAAATTGATTTGATGCCAAAAGTATGATAGAGTATCAACATAAAATTATCATTAATTTGCATTCGAATTTCGCTCCGATCAATCGGATGTTCTTCTTCCCGACTTGCAACCTTTTGCTGCCTATATGCTCTGTACCTGTTGCACTTTTCTGCCCATCTTCAAAAAAAGTTAAACGTCGTTGCACCGCGCGCGTGTAATCGATCGTTGTAGAGCCCGCAGTCAGAAAAAAAAAAAAAAATACGAAAGATGCGCTCGCGCAGATCGAGCGCGGAAAATTAATAATTCAATAGTGCTGGTGGATGATGTTGGGTTGATGCTTTCTCCCCCGCACGCCTTTACCGCGTCGTCCTCCGCCGTGGAACGCGGTATGTCGAGTGGTTTTGAAGGTCCACTGACGTCGTCGGTCAAGAGAAATAGCTTTCCCGCCAACATTTATCGCCCTCGGGATGCAGCAACAACAACAACAGGTAGATAAATTTGCCGGATAAGTGGACGTGTGTACTTGCGAACGAGCATCGATCGATGCACAATTGAACGTCCAGACGGGACGAGACGAGACGGGGAAGACATTTGTTGGGTTCCTGTTTTACAATAGACCGGGGGACCGTGTGTTTCACTTACCTTATCACAAAAGACTTTGATTTGACAGTAACCCCTATGGCACACGCTGGTGTCCCGTGGATCCTCGAACGTGTCGATCTGCAGGTGGAGTGGTAGGCCCTGTGGAATGAATAAGAAGAATAGGAAGCCGGTCAGTACGGTACCGAGTGAAACTTTCGCTTAGATTTGGGTCACCGATGGGTCCGGAAGACTTATGTAAAGTTCCCGGCGGCGGGCGCTGCTGCAGCTGCCATCAGACTGCAAACATAATTTTCCCGGCACGTGAAATTACTGTTATAGGCCTTGAGACGGGGTGCGCTCGCCGCCGCGCGTGTACGGTAATTTGCGTAGGCTCTCGGAAATGGCAACACACCGGGTGACCACCCGTCGATAAAATGTGAGGAAAACTTTTTCAGCTTTAATGGCAGCCAATCGTACATCTTGTCCGGTGTGAGTTGGATGCGGGGTTAGAGTGCCAAATAATGGCCCCAAGGATGCTGGGAAATCTCATTTTATATTCTAATTTCAAAAGATGATCTCATCCAATAGCTAAGTGAACAAGTTGCGGTACACCCACAATAAAATCTTATGATTGCTAAATTGTAACGGAGGATATCCGATGATGTGTTAAGACTCGCCTACAAAGAAAGACCACGCAGGAGACGGCTAGTTTGCATCACGGTCTGGTAACTTGTACAGATAGAATAGTAAATTACTAGATACTAAGTCAATGTCATATACAGTCTCTTTATTTGATACAAGCGCGGGAGGAAACATTGGGACATTCGTGAAAAAGTAAATGTCAATTATTTTCAACCGATGGCACAAAAGAAGATGCAGAAGTATTTTTTCAATAAAAAATAGTAGGTTTTACGGCCTTCAACTCTATAGGATCATCCGAAATCACTGTCCTTAAAGCTGGCCTAAACTTGAACGAGCAAGGTGTTCAGATCTTCAGGTGAAGAGGGATTCTCGCCGAGGACGTCAACAGCTGATTTTTTGTTGATCATACAACTAACAGGACTAAAAATCCAGACTGCTATCACAAATTATCAAAACGTTCAGTCAAAAACTGGTATTCAGCAAAGTTGTAGCTGAGAAAATTTACTATAAGAAAGGTTAGGGGAAGGAGAACAAACAGTTCATTTTCCCCATAGTAAGTCCCATATAAACTTAAATGCTGGAGCTCGCTATGAGGTCGTATTTTGGGAGAATTGATTTGATTGATTTTCATAATTTAGGAGAATTTCAGTCGCAGGCTGGTTCATCTCCGATTTTGGGAGAATTATTAGGATCTGATTTAGAATCGATTGAGCTTTGTGGAGTAAAATCAATATTTTGAACCACCCTACTGGGCATAGCATAGAATATGATTATGCTTGCCATACAATATACTAATGCAAAAATGCTACAGACTTACAGTACTGGACAAAATAAATCATACGCTCAACCCAAAAAAGTACATTACATCATATTTTTGCTATTTTGCACGCAATTTCAGCAGTATATTCAGAAAAGTTCAAGTATTTCTCATGGTGCATTCAATTAGCTGAATGAAAATTGTTATAATATTCTGTTATTTTTGTTACAAATTTAAATAAATATATGCTCACTTTTGTGCTGGGACAAAATAAATCATACACTCCTAAGATTTTATTTTTTAGCCATCGAATAAAAACAAAATCTGAAGATTTGGCATCACGGCGTAATATTTGACAGTTCTTGTTCCGGGAAGCGTGCGCATTGCACCATTGTGATTTGTTTGCGTCATTTGAAAAGTGAAAAATGTCGGGAAAGCAGATTTTGCTCGATGTTTGAAATTTGGTGATTCGCGATCGTGAAAAAGGAATTTCTTTACGGAAAATTGCCGAAAAGTACTCGATCTCAGTTGGAGCTGTTCAGCACAAATGGAAAAAGTACAAAACACGAGGAATTGTGAGGAATTTATCCGGACAAGGACGTCATCGTGCGACAAGTAATCGTGATGACATCAGAATTGTTCGAAGGGCTAAGCAGAATCCAAAGTATTTGTCGAGGCATATCGTGGAATCGATGGATCTCAATGTAAGTCGACGTACTGTTCGCCGGCAACTTTGAGAGTGTTTGAAAAGCTGTTTGGCATCGAAGCGTTCTTTTATCAACAAGCGGAAGCGACTGGAATCTGCTAAAAAGTACGCCGGAATGACTGTGACTTCTGGAAACAAGTTCTGTGGACGGATGAGAGCAAATTTGAGTTATTTGGACAGAAAAGGCGATCAAGGGTTTGGCGAGGTTCCGGTGACGCTCTTAAGGAACCATACATTCAAAAGAAGGTTAAACACAGAGGCGGACATATCATGGTATGGAGCATTTGCGTGGTCTGGTGTTGGAAGCTTGGCTCATATACAGGGAATAATAACTGCAGATGTGTACATTGACTTGTCAAGTGAAAATCTGGAAGTTTCGCTACTGAAAACTGGCCTGGAATCCAATTACATTTTCCAACAAGATAATGTCCCAAAGCACACAGCGAAGAAAACAACGGCATTTTTCAAATCAAATCGGATCAAAACGCTGGAATGACCTCCCTAATCTCCCGATCTCAACCCAATTGAGAGTTTGTGGTCTTCCTTGGACAACAAAGTGGTTTCCAACAAAAATGTTTATTTTGAAGCACTTGAAGCAGCGTGGGAGAATATCGATTCAGGATATCTACAAAACCTCGTCGAAAGTATGCCAAGACGGTTGGAAGCAGTTTTTAAAGCAAAGGGTGGTCATACCAAATAAAAAAGAGTGTTAAAATGTAAGCTGAAAATTGAATTAAACAAGGATTTTCAATAAACATCAGGCGTATGATTTATTTTGTCCAACTCGAAATTCTCCTTTAACAACTTATAAATGATGATTGAGAAAGTCATACAATATATTGAATATTCTATACCTGCACAGTTTTAGCAAAAAACATACAGGTGTGTTGCAGAACAAACCATTATTATATGTTTGAATCTACCTGATATATCGAGCTCCAAAGAAAAAAATATATGGGCGTATGATTGATTTTGTCCAGTACTGTAGAAAGCTCACCATAATAACTGTGGGAGAGCATCTATTACACCGGACTATTGAAGTATCCTTTTAATCCGACGCTACCAAACTCCATGAAATAGTTGTAGGATAAAAGGTCGAATGGACAAAAGGTCGAATGAAGTTTGACCATCTTCATTCGATCTTTTGTCCATTCGTCATTTCTTCCTACAACCCATAGTTGTAGATATCCATAGATTAAATATCAACAGTATCAAAAGAAGCTCAAGAAGATTTTCCTTATCAATTTTTCGAGGTCGAACGAAAAAACTTTCGAGAATTTTCAGTTGGAGTATTCAGTTTTTCTCACTACACGGCGCAAGTATGAATGTGAACTTTCAGTATGTTCTATATATCGAAAGCCAGACTCTCTAGAAAGTTGCCGCCTTGGACAAGGCTGGTCAGGTGACAAAGACTTTCCTGATGATAGACGTAAAAGCACAGTGTATTGAGAAAAATGTGAACTAATCTGTCTCCCATCCAGGTTTCAATCACCTGAACAAATTTTTCTAAGAACAATGTTCTAGATTTTTTTTTAATCAAAAAGATTTTCAGCTTATGGTAACTTCTTAGATGATCAACGTGATGTCACTAGCACACTAGCGCCACGTAGTGAAATGAATCTGAACTAAGCTGGCCAGAATTTTGAAAGTCTTGGTCAGCTGAACAACGGAAACTTCCAATATGATGAAATTAACTGGAAATTATCCAATCGGCCTCGACCCACTGTACAACTTTGTGTAAAACAGTAACCTTCTATGTGGCCGTCTTACCCTTAGAGGTGACTAACCTTATAGCATGATTTGTTTCTTGCGTTATTTAGACTTTTTTTTGGATCATGATAAAACATCATCAAATGAAGAGGAAATTCCCTAAAAATCAATGTGATTTGGGAAAATACTCTAAAGCTTCACTTAATTTAACACGGAAATTTTATATAGTTTGGGTTAAATTTTACTTTAAGCTTCGGGTGGTCGTCTTACCCCATCGTCCTCCATAAGTTATTTTACAAATCTCACATAACTGGTGGCAAAATAACTATTTACGTTGTATTAAGTTTCTTTTGAAAGTTTTAGTACTATCGAACTATGACTGCCTCACCCATGTCAAACTGTGCAGAACAAAAATAATACCAATTATTTAGAAGCCCACGTCTGTTGAGCGATATGTCAAAATTTCTCCCACAAATTCCTTCCACGACTATAACGGCCATTACACGACACCCGGCCACCTAAAGTTCCCTATGTGTCACACGCGCATAGCTCGGTGGTGTGCGCCGCGCGGTCGAACAAGAAAGTTGAACAAATTGAATATAAATAACCAGGCGCGGATAAATTTATACGTTATAAATCTCGAGATTAGCACTTAAAATATATATCATTTTCTCTGTCTTCCTCCTGCGCGCGCGTCTCGGACCACCACCAGTTGGTTCGCTTGCATTCATCCTTCTTGGTCGATATCGCGGCTGACGGGGATGCCGTCGATGTTCTTCTTCCTTGCTGCGCACTAAGCTGGCTGCTTCTGAGCTGAAGCCTTTGCAATTCCCCGAGAAACCGAAACATGTACCTCGGCAGTCACAAGTCCTCCCTTCTTCCCACTCTCCCACAGAACTGGAAAATCTCAATTTTCACACGTTTCTTTTGTTTACCATCGTCTTTTTTTTTCCAGTCTCAGGACGTCTGTGTGACTACCCGAGTACGCTTCTTGTGTCACATATAAATCAGACCTTGCGCGCAATCTGACATTTTGCTGGGTTGTGTGGTATAGAAGCACAATTTATCGATTTGCGCTGCGGGAAACACCTGTCCATCGTCGTCCTCGTCGTTGTCGTTGATGTCATCGTTCTCGTCCCAATCGGTTCGGTTGAGCAAAGTTTGATTGAATCAGGAAGTGTTAGGCCCTTTGAGCTATGCTTTACTTGGAATCAATCATGACATGAGATAATTGCGTCCTAAATTAGAACTTAGACTTATCAATCAAAGCGCTTTTGACGTTCTATCCAGTGTTAAATTTGAACGTAGGTAGGGTTAATATGTCAATTGAAAGCTTGGAACGTT